CTAGAGCATACCAAAAGGTATCACCATGATACCGGGGATCAAATCGGTAGGATAACAATTGATTTGTCCTTGTTCTCCCTTGCCACAAGGAGCTTAGGTTTATCAGGTTGCACCCATCACAGTGCTCCCAAGTCACTCCCATTCCTTTGTTTGTCTGTAACCACTTCTTTGTGCTGTCTTCCCCAACAAGTTAATCAGCTTTTCCCCTAATCAGAATCTGTTAATTTGTAAGGTCAGATCCTTCTAGGACACTGAACTCATAGTGTAAGTTAATATTGCCTTCTCCTCTCCTTATGTCTTTTGAATAGTTTACTTTAATGCAATGTCCTTTTTGTATAGATTCAGGAAGACAGTTAATATTATGCTTTGTAATTTAGGATTAAATTGGCTTTGAATATTATTCATTCCTGGGCATCTGCTTTCTCAACTTAAGCCTCAGTTGCCCTCACTTCTTAGTGCCCCCCAAAGCAGGGTCCCAATGAGGGAATGGATGGAACCAGGGCAGTAAGTTATGTGCTACCCTGGCATCGAGATGGGTGGGCCAAAGTGCCACGATTCTTAACTATAAGTTAGGGGTTTGATCATAGACAAATGCTGTCATGATCCAAAAGTAATGACAAGACTAGGACCCTGCTAGGGATAGGAAGGACTATCTGGCCTGAGCACCATAGTCTGAGATCAAGATGGCCCTAGGAGAGCAATTCTTTAAGCTTAAAGTATTTCTTACTGTGTCCATACAAAATAATTTATATTATGTATGCTTATATATTTGTTGGACAGGAGAGGAGAAACACACCCAGGGGATTCTGTTCCGGGGTGGATTGATCTGCTAAATGAGAATCTGTCCTAGAAGTGGCTTTTCAGAGAGAACTCTACCCCTATTGATTATGACCACACCTATGTGTAATTGTTACTCCAACCTGTTGGGGCCGGACTGATCTGTCAGGGTGAGCCCATGTAGACTGCACCGCACAACGGGCAGGAACATAGGGACACGAGATTTCTTGTGTGTCCTAACTAGTTTGGATGAGGCTGAACTTTTTCCCCTTCAAACTGCCTTCAATAAATAATTTCAGTATATTGTAAGAGGCAGTTTTCCTTTTCTCACAGAAACCTGGCTGGTCTTTGACATGCAGATCTCAGGTGCTAGCTGGGCCTGATCTTTGGGATGTAGATTCCAGACTCTAGCCAGACTAATCTTTGGGATGCATATCCAAGTGCTTGTAGCCCAAGAAAGGTTTCAGTTTTGGTTTTGTATCTTCTCCCTGAGGCCAAAATTACTGGCTTGCAGATGTAAAGAAACAATGTATGTTTTGCTGCCTCAATATTCTTTCTGTAACTCCTTTTGATGACATCACAGCATTGCACCCTTTTTGAGGTACCATGATAAAAAAAAAGGAGATTCCAGGGCTCTCTACGGGGAACACAGGCTTGAGAGAACCTGGGGGGTGATAGGTCTGAGAGAACCTGGGCCCTCCATGACATACATTTCTTTTATGGGTTATAATGAGACTATAAGAGTGGGCTGAGGGAGGCAGAGGAAAGACAGGAGTGAATGGAGAGAGGATTTGAATAAACTGCAACCAAGACCATCCAGCCTGGCCCTCCTTTCCTTCCTTTACCTACCCATCGCCATCGAACTCCTTGGAGTGGGGGAAATGGCCTGAAACTACCGAACGTGGGCAGCGGGAGAGATAGACAGCTGCTGTCTTCTTGTGTTTACAAAAACTCGTGTCCTGGGAATCTTGACATGGTGGGAAGTCATCATGAGGGCACATTCTCTTGTCTGAAGAAAAGTAGAAACTGTCTTAGATTATAAGACTGATGGGGCTTGAAGTTTCCCCTTCCCCACCCCACCCAACACCTGCCACTTCCCTGACACTGATTTAGCATGACTCACTGATCTGTTCAGGAGCTAAGGCAGAAATATATCTTACATTAAAACTTGGGGCAAAAAGGTATGCACAGAGGCAAGAGCGATGCATGTTCAAGCTAGACACTCTTGAACCCCCATAACATATGGTCCCTAAGCCCTTCCTGGTGTTCCCCTGGAGGCTCCTGAGCACCACTATTAGTTCCTAGCACTAAAGGCCAAGCATCTCCACATCCTTAGGTCCTCACGTTGAACTATCCAGCCCTATCCAATTACTTTTATGTGATAAATTTTGTATTTGATCATGGGGTTGTTTTCTAAGTTCTTGTCTAAGAATTTATGAATCTGCTGCTAATTGAGACTTCTGTGCTATTGTTTTAATTTGTTGAGTTAATTGGCTCCTGTGTTACTTTCCAATCTAATTTGGTGTGTTCCTACTGGAATTTTAGAATCAGGAGATGTTGTGCAGCCATGTATGGGACCATGCAGTCCAGATATTTCAGGACCTATGGTCTGGACCAATTTCAGAACCACTCAGGCTAGAACTCTGGGGTCTTCTCAGAGTCAGGGGTGCAGCCTCCCCCTACCATCCCATACTTCTGAAGCCACTTCCCTCTCCAACAGTCTCCACCATGTCAACTCATTGCTTAGAAAATTGATCCTTGCTTTTTAAAGGTTCTTCACCACCCTCACTTCAAATCAGATACTTCAGAAGATGGGCCATCAGAATGCATAACCTACTGATCATTCAAGCTGAGTTCAGAGAGGGTAACCTGTGACTGACTGTAGGGGACCCACAATTCACTAGGAATAACCACCATCTGTGGGAACTCTCTATGCCACTTTCCACTTCTCTTTCTACTTCTCTTTCTAAGCCTAGTAACTCTTCCCTTAGAGATGAAGCTGAAATTTATAGGCTTAGCATGTATTTAATGTCTTAATATTTCACATAGCTGGTTAAACATTTGTGGCTAAGATCCCAATCCAAACTGCTGTGTTTGGTTTTTCTCTACTGCATTAACTATCTTAGTATCACACAATCTCAGTATCGCCCTGTATTTTTCCCATTATTGGCGTAAGTTTTGAGTTCATTAATATTTCTTGGCATTGCTTAGCTCTACTGAGGATTCTGAGGAACAAACTTTCCTGTGCATGCCACCACAAGTAGGGCAGGCAGTATTTCAGAACTATGCTTAAAGGGGGGAATTCCAGTACAAATGAACCAGTATATTAGGGGTTTCAACTGCTAACTTGGGGTTGTCAAAGTCATATATTGTAGAATGTATTCCCTGTGTTATCTGTGAGTTGTCTGTGACTACCTGGTGATAGCCAGAAAGCCAGAAACAACTAAAGAGGCTTAGAAAGAAACAGCACGAGTATGAGTTTTGCATACAGTCCCAGTGAAACAGACAAATCAAAGTGCCTGGAACTGGGAAGTAACATGAGAAGAACAACCCAATCCTAGACCCCCTGGGCTGCCAGGTGAGGATGCTGGACAGTTAAGGCAAAAGAAAGAGATGACCAGGGCTGCACTTAACACTTTGCCTCAGGTTTGATTCACTAAGACTGAGTCCAATAATGGAACAAGAATGAGAATTTAGGACTCCTCAAGCTATTTAATTCATGATTTATTCTGAATCTTAGAGTCATCCTTCCTCCCTAAGAAGTTCAAGTATTATTCCAGACCATAATACCATCCTATATGGAATAATTTATTCATCTGCATGTCAATAAACATCAGCATGTAATAGCATAGAACTCTTTCTACCATTAATTTAATTCAGGTCAGTTCCTGTGCTCTAAATCTTTCTGGAGTAGGACGTCACTATACCTATACGTGGATATGGGCATATTCATTTCTTCCAAAATAAGTTTAGGTTTGTGGTACTAGTAATTATGAAAACAAATAAGATTTGTCAAATAAAAGATTTTTATTTGCCAAATCATAAAAATCTTTTATTTGCCAAATCTTATTTGTTTTCATAATTACTAGTACCACAAAGTACTTTTTTTATTCACTCTAAACCTTGAGGTTTCAGAAAAGGATAAAAACAATCAAAATCAGATAGCTAAAAATATTGCTTTATTAGAGGTTGAACTGAGATGCATAGAGATAAAAGAATCTAGTTGAGGTTACTCAGGTAATGGAATAAAGATGAGCATAGAATGGAATTTTCTTACTTCCAGTCCTGCACTACCAGACTTGAATTTATAATAGATCTTCCTGCAGAAATCTTTCTATGATGCTGAATCACAGAAACAAAAAGTAATAGATGGGTTTAGTTCAGACAACGTGGAAAATTTCAAGAAAACCTTAATAATGATCTATGCTTAATTTTTTTTCATTAAAGCGCACATACATGCACATACAAGGGCATATACACGTATGTACACAGGTACTTATCCTCTTCTCTGGTTACATTTTATACTCATGGAGTGCGTTACTCAACCCAACAGCCTTGATGCTGAGAAAACTGCTATATTCTCTTTTCCTTGCAAGGTATGATGATGTAGGGAGTGAGAACTGACGTACAAGTAAATGTCATTTTTTTCCTGGGAGAATATCTGGGAAGTAGTTCCAAGTATCCTCAGAGACCTGAGGCTGACCCCTTTGCCCCTTATTGGGGCTAACTTGAGAGTCACCAAAGATAAGGATAAGAATGTAGTGGAAAAAAGCCAGCTGGATGAGCAAAGCTTTATCCCAGGGCTGAAAAAAGTCATGTAGGCGATTGCTCTCATGTCCCCTTTCTATTTATGAGGAAGCAGACTATACAAAAACAAATGTGTGAAGATCATGAAATAGTTCATAAGAGCTACTTGGTTTTTAAGTCCATCTGAATGCCCCAGGAGAATTTCTTCTTTGTTCATTTTGTCTTACAGATATCATTTTAAGGTAGTTGTTCAAATCAGGAATCATCTTCCCTTTTCTTTTGCAGCACAAAAAGATGAAGTTAATTTTTTCTTAGAACTTAACTCCAGCATTTGTACAGAAAGATTTCCAATCTTTTTTACAATACTTCCCAGTATTGGCTTTTCTGAAGTGTGATTTTTGGCTTGACATACAAATGTCTATTTCCACAGAGTTTTTTTTGAGATGCAGCCCTGTCAGAAGTGTAGAAAGACACAATGGGGCTGTCACTCAAAGAGCTCCAAGTAGTCCGGTGGCTGGGACTGCTGACCACAGGGATACAGAAGGAGCTCCCTCCCCAGCGAGGTGATTGGCTCTTCCTGCAAAACAGAAAGCATGGGTCAGGCTGGGTGGGCAGGATGTTGAGAGAGCTTAAATAATGTCATGCCCCTCTAGTGAGAGGTATTCCTTCCTTATACCATGATTACATGAAGCCTTACTGGTTTATAACAACCTAGAAAAATATTGTTTTCATCCACATATTTCCATGTTCTCTCTCTCTGAAACTAGAATTCTAACTTAAGAATATCCTCACTTATATATGTACAGAGTTTTTAGATTTCTCCTGTTTTCTCTGCTCCATTGGGGTCTCCCTGAGTACTTGAAGAGGAACTTCAGTGATAAAGGAAATGCAATTAAGAGTCTTGAATGTCAGGAGAAATGATCATATCCAATTCCCCCTATTATTTGTCTCAATCTTTTTTTGCCCTAGTAATTGCTATTTATTGTTAGACCTATTGTGGGACAACAATTCTCAAAGCAAATTAAGTTTATACATGGTTCACCTTGTGATACTCCACCAAGTCTGCCAGTGTGTTGTGCTGTAGTTGGTCGACGCCCAGGAAGCTGTAGGAGTCTGCGGAGGCATCAATGAGGAAGTGTTTACATCCTTCCTCAGACAAATAGGACAGGGCATAGCCTTTGGTCTTCTCACTGACACGGATTAGAAAACTGCCTGGCACACATGTGCTCAGAAGTTCATTTGCTCTTTTTAGTGTTATAATTCCTGTGGGAAAATAAGCAGGCTTTTCAGAAAATCATTTCCAAAATTCCCCTTTCCCCAGTTAAGTATATCTTAAGTGGATAAACTTTAGTGAAAAACAAGAACATCTTTAAGTTTATTTTGGTATTCAGAGGAGTTCAATAAAGATTATTTGGAACCTGGGAAAGAATGATTTATATAAACAATAGTGCAAATGAAAGAGTAAATATGTAACCTTTAGAAGAATACATGTCCACATAGATACCCACTGATAACAATACAGAGTTCTTGATTTTGGTGAGACCCTTGACAGCCATACTGGGAGTCATCAGGAAAGGGACGTTAGATGTCTTCCTCAGCCACCTCAGTTTTCCATGGCCTAAGAATAAACAAAGTTCTAGAACAGTGGTTCTCAGACAGAGCAGTGTGTGTAAACATCTGGGAAATTATTTTGTTTCTTATTGTATGGGTAAGTAGAGTTCAAGGATGCTAACAGAGAACACCACATTAAGAATTATCTAACCTGAAATGTCTCTAGAATTGAAGGTGTAGAATTGAAGGTGAGAAACCTTAGTATAGGTGTTAACAAGTTAGTCACCAAAAAACCTACAAGTGCCTCTGGTGTAGGTAGAGCTAATTCTAAATGTTCCTTTATTTATTCCTTTATTCGCATTTATTTAAGGGGGGAATAGGTTCACACTTGGTGGGGCTCAAGGGCTATTCCTCTGTGTTCAGGAGTAAGCCCTGGCATCAGTTGGGGGTCCAATTGGTGGCCAGAGATCAAAGCGGGGTCAGTGCCATACAAGGCACATACCATAACCTCGATATTATCTCTCCCTGCTGCTTCACTCACATTGAAATTAACGTTTCCCAAAGTGGGTAATACCTTGGGAGTGTGCTGAAGTAATTCAATGTGACAGGAGTAGCCTCCAGTACAACTTGAGTGGGCAATTTTTATTTGCTTAAAAGTTTGGGATTTATTTTATTACTTTTATTAATTTATATTTAATGATACCCACAATATTCATTTATATTTAAATGAGCACAACATATAAATGTGATATAAATGTGAACAAACATATATCTTGTATATAAAAATGCATTGTTTATGTCTTCATATATATTCAAAAGAAATATATGAATCTAAATATGTCTATAATACAGATTTATAGACTTTACAGAGGAAGAAAGACACAGGAAATGAAGGTGAGAGTGTGTGAGAGTGTGTATGTGTGTATGAGAGAGAGAGAGAGTGTGTGTGTGTGTGAGAGAGAGAGAGAGCTCATGAATTCACCCATTAGTCTGAACTCATGAGGTTTAATTCATGTTCTAGTATCCTCTTCATATTCCAATTGTAGTTCAGACAAACTGATAATGTTATAAAAAGTGAAGAAAATGTACAAACCCATCTTGAAAAAATGGGAAAGTCATTGAGCCCTGATTTGAGGATAAAGACAGCATTCTCTAGAGCATTTTAATTTTAGCAAAGAGAAAATTTTGACTTCTCTTGTTCCAAAATTATTTCCCTATTGATTCTCATCATCTTTTTAAGAAAAATAAAAATCAAGGAAGTCTGGTGGTGAAAAAGAAATGAGCCAGTGCAGTCCTTTGGTCTGAGATTGGTTACAGGGTAGCTTTGGCGCTGTCCATTTTGGCAGTTTGGAATTTCAGTGCTAGGTTAGAGGAAGCAGTGGTCTCTGGGCGTTGTGGTGCTGGGGATAATCAGGGACACCCTGACAGTGTATGGCCTGTGGGGCCACTCCTAGTGATACTTGGAAGCAAGGTGGTGTCAGGAATTGAACCGTGTTCAGCACACACTAACCTCATACTATCTCCCAGACCCATAACCCTACCTCTTTGGTAGAAAAGTTATTTAACCTTAATAATAAAACGTAAAGTAAAGCATTTACTTAAACAAAGGGCTGGAGAGGTAGTATCATGCTGTGCATGCTTCTGGACCTGGGTTAAACCCTTGGCACCCCATGTAGTTCCTCCTAGCCTCATCAGGGTTGATTCCTAAGGACAGGGCCATGAGTAGTCCTAAACACCATCAGGTATGCTCTGCACATTGCTAAAAATAAAGTAAAACCATTTTTCACCCCTTTTGTAAATAGACCTTTAATAAAGGGGGGATTGAAAAGATCACCAGACAAAATCACAGTCTTTCTCCCAGACAAAATCACACAGTCAACACTTGTTCTGGCTTTTTGGCCCTTATGCCCATTCCGGAGGTGCCTTTGAAACTCAAAGTTCCATTTGGGACTTATCTTACCAAGTGAGATATGGTTTAGAGCTGGGGATGCAGATAAAGTCTGGAGTGCCCCACTCACAGACAGGAAGTGTTCCTGAAACAAAGGTCGGTGCCTCTTCTCTAGAGTCACTGATACTTGTGCTTTTATCTATGCCTGACAGTCATCTTTCCATCTTTCTTAAGTGAGTATGTCCCTAAAAACTTGGTAGCGAGTGCTTGGTGATCCCTGCTTGCTGCGCTGTCCATTTTGGGGGTTCAAACAGCTGCCTCTACAGGACGAACTGCTGCTTCACTGTAACTTTTGCCTTTGCAAACACTCTCAGCCCCAATGATGCATGACAGGCAAAAACTGTGTATGAAACAATTCAACTGGTGAGCACCTATACAGAGTTGCGTGTGACCAAAGTTAAAAATGAATTTGATATGAAATTTGGGATTTATTTACCACTGATACTGGAAACTCCCCTTCAAAATTGAAGGTGTGTTAAACCAGTAGTGAAGGAGAACAACATCCTGGAAAATTTTTCTTTTCACTTACTGAGAAACTAACTCAAGAATTCCAGATTCATCAACAGATGGGGCAGATGTTGTAATTTATAACATCTGAGTGTTATCTACTAGAGTTGAAGTTCTAAAATGGATGTTATTTTTGGGAAGAATACCGAATCAGAATTAAGGTCAAATTCTTTCTAAAATCAGCCCATTACGTATTTGTACAAGAAATTACACGAGAGCCTCTTACAGCACAGGACTCTTTCTATCTCCAGGACACCAGGACACAATGAAGTGATTTTGTGACAAATCACAGGTCATAACAGAAGCTCCTTAAAAACAATAGCACTGACAGAGACTTATGCTACGAAAAACCAGGCTTAGTTCATGTTGCTTTACAACAGAATTATTATTCAGAGTACATCCTCTCTGGGTGCCTCTGGCAATGCAGTTCATGAACAATGTATCTTGATTAATCAAGAGCAGTGGTATGTTCTAGTAGTCCTGGCTGCAATCACTGTTTTTGAATGTGAAACCAAAATCCACAGTCAGATATTAATGACTATGGGCCCATGCATACTCCTTACAGTACTTATCATGCTTGATTTGCCCCATTCATGACTGAAGATTCATGACTGAAAGTTGAGGTCTTTCCAGTCTCTCAAAGGACCAGGACACCTCATTCTGAATATCTCTCTTCTTCCATGTACAAACACTAATATCTGCAGTCAAAAGGATCTCTATGCTTATGAAAAAAGTGGGGGGAAAGCAATATAAAACTTATTTTTATTTCACTAATTTTTGAAATAAATAAACACCTCTAGAGAAGTGGTGTTTGAGTAATTTTCTATGATTATGGCTGGCCATTGTTCATTCATCAGGTGGCTGGATGAATGTGTGGATGGTAATTATAAATGTCCATTAGATAAATGTGGCTATTAAGTATCTAAAATGTGGCTAGTGTGATTTAACTTTCAATAGCATTTCATTCAAATTAGTTTTTATTTGTATGTAGGAATACTGCTATTTCTTCAGCCACTCATTAGCTGACTGAATTGGGCATGAACACCACCTTACTTTTTTAAAATTTTTTTTATAATTTTATTTATTGAATCACTGTGAGAGCAGTTACAAAGCTTTCAGGTTAAAGTGTCGGTCATACAATGAAACACCGTACCTTCACCAGTGCCCATCTCCACCACCAAAACCCCCAGTATACCCCCATCACACACCCTCCCCCTACCGGTGGGGCAGATGATTTCCACATTACTCTCTCTCTACTTTGATTACATTCAGTATTTTGATACCTTACCCACCACTATTATTTGGGATTTTACCCCACACTTGGATCTGCCAAAAAAGGCAAAAGTAGACAATTTTTTCTATTGCTGATTATGAATAACATATGATGTTGCGTGGCTGCAGCAGTGGCCATGCGGTTTTGAAATTCCAAAATTTTAACAATTAAATCTAGAGGGATTTCTGCCAAAACCTGCTGGGTTCCGAGATTTGTTCCTGAATCTCTTGGATCATGGCCGTTAAGGAGCTTGATCAGGAGCCAAAAAGGCCATTAGTGGGCGGTGACTCAGGGTCTCATTGGGATGGGAAGGAAAGGGCCGGCTCCACACCCATCCCGTGAGGTCCCATGTGGCTCATCACTGAGGACCCAAACCTGACTGTCCAATGTCCTCTGGAGGATTTTGGCCACCGAGCCACCTAGGGGGAGCAGGCGGAGGGACAGCACCCTTTCCCCCCTGGAATGCCTGGCAACAGTAACCTACTGTGGGGTCCAGATGCATTTCTGCCAAAAGCTGCTGGGCTCTGAGATTTGTTTCTGAGTCTCTGGGATCATGGCCATTAAGCAGCTTGATCATGAGCCAGAGAGGCCATTCGTGGGCGACGACTTGGGGTCTTGTTGGGACAGGGAGAAAAGGGCTGGCTCCACCCCCATCTCATAAGGCCCCATGTGGCTCATCACTGCGGGCCCAAATCTGACTGTCCAGTGGCCTCTGGGCGGCCACTGGGCTGCCAGGGAGAACAGGCCAAGGCATGAAACCTATTCCCACCTGGGGTGGCCCAGCGCCAGTAACTTACTGCAGGGACTGGATGCATTTCAGTCAAAAACTGCTGGGTTTCGAGATTCGTTTCTGAGTCTCTGGGATCATGGCCATTAAGCAGCTTGATCAGGAACCAGAGAGGCTATGCCTCCAATTATATAGCTGAGCTGGAGGTGGTTTGTTGGTATGTCTCCCACATACCTAACTTTTGGCCATTTACTTTC